CTAGAAAATGGAAAAACAGAACTAAGGAGAACAAAACCCTTCAAAAGACAAAAGTATTCGCATGAAATCTGCTGTCATAAAGAGTTCCGTAGCACCATGATTATGCTCATAACAACTGATCGGGAAAAATAAGTAAAACCTACCCGCAGTGGGACCAGCACGTTCATGTCGCTCATTTGTTGTATATCGACAATGACCTGTGAATATAGGAATAATTACTTTTTCAAGGCAGAAATAATTACAAGTTATTCTCGATGTCATACTTTTCGTAACAGTTTGACCATCATTCCTGGTGGCAGTTCCCGTGTGATCGCCACCAAGAAATCGGAAACAGCGTCACGTTGATTCTTCGTCAGTGATTTTAGTCGATTCATTCGATATACCTGTTAAAAATTAAGTTCTAGAATGAATAGTCACCTAGAGGAGTTTACCGCTGATCGATTATTGATTGCTCTTACCGTATGCAGAGTTGCATCAAGAAGAGCAGCATGGTGTTCGGCGTCGGCAAAGAAATGCGAATGATTTGTAAGCAGTGGCAGTACAGCGTTGCAAAGGTAACGATTCAGTGCCAACGCTGTGTCCGACTCTAGGGCGCGGGGCTGAAAAAATGTAACATCATCCAGTAACTGTATATTTCCATGGAGTTAGGGAAAAAGAGAGAAATTCATCCTCCGCTGAGAGTTGGAGTTTCCAGATGAGCTAAAAACTCGTATTTGTACCTGTAGACTCTCTCCAAGTGCAAACCAAGTTCAAGCTATTTCATAACTTCACAGGAATTAAAAGGTGAAAAGGAGCATCGATAGTGGTCGATAGGATCAGCCAAATGCCCCCACCTAGTCGAACTGCGCTCAAATCCCAAATAATTTCAACAGAAAATACCCACCGAATCCATCATTGTAGAGGCTCGCAGATCCGGTAGGAAACTCTGCTCAAGGAAGTGGAACAGCATATCCTGCGAATCAATACCGTATACCCGATCGAGAAACAGTAAAACGGATCCTTTGTGATTGGGTAGAAGACCAGGCAGTGGACCATTAGCTAAACAGACATGTACCGTAATCCTAGAGAAGAAACCCTGAAGAAATATCAACAGAGCACACACAAACACTTCACGCAAAACATGCAGAATTAGTGCTCACACGCAGGATCCCGCTTCTTTCCGATGATCATCATGATCGGTGGAGACGATGACGACACTTTTGGTGTCGGAGATTCGTTTTCTTTTGTGTCATCATCCAGGTGACTCTTTACGGAACCATAATCCGATTGCGACTCATTTTCATCGTTTCCGTTGTCGGGTTCTTCCTCGCGAAGCTGTGATAGCTTAGCCTCGTACTGCATTGACTGTAAACGATTGCGATTCGCTTTCACTTCGGTGGCGACTTTCGCGAACGAATGCGTAATGTTCACATTGTGTTGGTGTGAATTGGCGAACGAGCGACGACGAACTGCGAGCATAAGCATGGTTAGTAATTAGTCAAGATTAGTATAATAGTTACTTCAAGAAAACTGATCGGAAGAGCGT